ACACTGTGTACTGGGTTGACATATGGTGTATGAGAAACTTCTAGATGAAATATGGAAATCATTGAACAGTATTCAAGATTAAGTCCATAATGAAGTTTAAGATTCATTTCAACTTTATGAACAAAATAAAAAAATTATTTTCTAGACACCAAACTGGCAAAGAATAAGCCTGAATGTAACTGCTGTCTTGCTAATGAAAGGGAGACAATTGAATTTTGTATTTGAAGTTGAAGAAGAAAATCAAGTTACCTCCCTTTTCATTATAAGTGTGAAAAGAATTCCTGATAAAGACATAACTTAGCCTCCTGATTTGTTTAAAAAAAGTTGGTCCATAAAACTAAATTATTTTATTATTACTAGAAATAATATTTCATTATTTCTAGAAATAATATTTTATGATTACTGCCAGTATCAAATGTAAGTGCAGGATATTGTCAATGTGAAGGAGGAAATACTGTACACTGTTACAAGCACTGAAGGTCACTGACAGAGATATGTAGGATTGATTTTTGTGTTTTTTTTAACTAAGTGTTGATGCTTAGGGAAGGGGGGGGTTAATATATGGCTGTACTACATTTTATTTCAAGTTATATCAATAATTTTACATTATAGCAAAGTTAGATGTCTCGTATGACTTATTTTAATCTATGAGAAAATTGTTGGATTGTTTTTATTAGGTCACCTGAGTAACTCAGGTGACCTATTGCTATCCGTTTTCGTCCGTCGTCGTGCGTCGTGTGTTAACATTTGAACATTTTCAGCTTCTTCTCTGAAACCACTTAACCAATTTCAACCAAATTTGGTATACAGCATTTATGGGTAAAGGGGAACAAACATTGTGATTTTCATGGTCCCTGCCCCCCTGGGGCCTGGGGGGTGGGGCAAAAACCACTTAAATTATTGCAATCTTTCAAAATCTTCTTTTTTACTCCTGGACATCAAGCAGGCAAACTGTTGTTATGAATGTAATGAGCATTGAGTCCTCTACTTAAATTGTGAAATTCATGGCCCCAGGGTCAGGGGTTCTAGTGCTAGGGCGGGGCTATATAGATTATATAGTGAAAATGCATGATTTCTTTGAAAATCTTCTTCTCTGCTCCTAGGTATTAAATAAACTAACCAAGCACATAGTTATGATGAGCAAGAGTGCCTCTACCAAGATTGTGAATTTTATGGCCCCAGGGTCAGGGATTCTTGTGTTAGGGGTGGGCTCTATTGGTTATATAGTGAAAATGCATTAATTCTTTGAAAATCTTCTTCTCTACTTATGGGTATTAAATAAACTAACTAAGCACATAGTTATGATGAGCAAGAGTGCCTCTTTCAAAATTGTGAATTTTATGACCCCAGGGTCAGGGGTTCTGGTGTTAGGGGTGGGCTCTATTGGTTATATAGTGAAAATGCATTAATTCTTTGAGAATCTTCTTCTCTACTTATGGGTATTAAATAAACTAACTAAGCACATAATTATGATGAGCAAGAGTGCCTCTTTCAAAATTGTGAATTTTATGACCCCAGGGTCAGGGGTTCTGGTGTTAGGGTGGGGCCCTATTGATTATATAGTGAAAATGCATTTATTCTTTGGAAATCTTCTTCTCTGCTTCTGGGTATTAAATTAACTAACCAAGCACATAGTTATGATGAGCAAGAGTGCCTCTTTCAAAATTGTGAATTTTGTGACCCCAGGGTCAGGGGTTTAGGTGTTAGGGCAGGGCTCTATTGATCATATAGTGAAAATGCATAAATTCTTTGAAAGTCTTCTTCTCTGCTTCTGGGTATTAAATAAACTATGTAATTAAATAGCTATGTTGATCAAGAATGCCTCTTTCAAAATTGTGAATTTTATGACCCCAGGGTCAGGGGTTCTGGTGTTAGGGCGGGGCTCTATTGGTTATATAGTGAAAATGCATTTATTCTTTGAAATTCTTTCCTTTGCTCCTGTGTTTATGCCTATGATCCAAATATATATATTCATGATGAAGAAAGGCGCACCTAGCAAAATGGCTATTTTTTATGCCCCCGCCCCTTCCCTGGGTCGGGGTGAGGGGGGGGGGGTACAAAGTCTGAAAATAAATTAATGCTTTGAAATTTGCTCTTTGGTGTCAATCAACCATTTTATGATAAAATTTGCAAAATTTTGAAATATGTGGCCCCAGGATCAGTGGTTCCTTTGGGATGAGGTGTACAACTGGTTATAAAGTGGAAGTGCATTTTCTCTTAATGTTACTCTGATCTACCTCTGGGTATTAAGTAAATAGAGTTAGCATGCTTAATCTAAATGATTATAAGCAATGGTACCTATTGCAAAATTGTGAATTGCGAATTCCATGGCCTCTGGTTTAAAACATGAACCAAATTTACTTGTTTGAAAGTTGTTGCACAATACTCAGGTGACCTATAAGGCCCGTGGGCCTCTTGTTTTTAATTACATCCACCCACATATATGTATGTATGTCACTGTGTTGTGGTTTTTTTTGTTGGGGGCAGGGGTTGTAAGAGTATGTCTTACTCGGTGAATTTTCAGTGGAGTTATGTTACAAAATCATTCTTTAGGGCTGCAGACCACACAGGGGCATATTTTAACTCTAAGCAGTTCTAGAGGTCCTGTGATTTTGGTTAAGATCATTAGTTCTTAGCTAAAGTACATTTTGATGAATTATGTGTTGATTGTGAATGTTTATCTTTATTTTACCAAATTGCCTTTGCTTCATGAATATTAATAAAGATTCGGAGTATTTACAGTATAATTTTTTTTTTATTTCGAACAGGAGTCCCTCTGGAGGACATCAAATGCAAGAAACATCCCAGAATTCCCCTGGACCAGTTTTGTACCCCGTGTGGTGTTCCCTTGTGTGTGGAGTGTACCAGATCTGAGGATCACAGCAGACATGACCTTAGAAATATGAAGGAATTGTTTGACAACATTCACAAGATAGAAGGTATGAGTTTGAACCTTCTTTAGAATTTTCAATGGAAATTATCATTCTACTTTGATTATCACATAAATATTAATTACAATTACCTTTAATGATCTGAACTAAATACGAAAGAGATAATTTTCTGATCAAAATTTCTAGGCTGCCTTGTTGCCGGTAGGTTTGTCTTAAACCAAATATTGGGAGGTATATAAATTATAGAATCACCTTGTCTATTTATTATCCATCTAGCTGTCCATTTAGCAGATATGCCCAGACCAAAACTTCATGATAGGAAAACACTGAAAGTATGTACAGGACACAATGATTATGTGTGTTGACTGTTATGTAAGGAACTTGCTTGAACTCACTTAAGCGAGTTCAAGGCCAGGTGCGGATCCAGAATTTTTTTTCCAGGGGGAGGGGGGGTCCACCCCAGTCCAAAAAAACCCAACCTAGAAATTTCTTGACAAGCAAAGAAAACAAATAATAAAATAAAAAGTAAATAAACCCCATAAACTTGCCAAATCTTAAAAACCTTGTAGAAGAGGGGGGGACATGACTTCTAAAACATCAACTCTTTTAACACAAATTCACATTTACTAGGGGGAAGGGGGTCTGCGTTTTCCATGGGGAGGGGGGGTCCAAGGTAACTTTTTAGCTCACCTGAGCCGAAGGCTCAAGTGAGCTTTTCTGATCACATTTTGTCCGGCGTCCTTCTGTCCGTCTGTCTGTCCGTCTGTCCGTAAACTTTTCACATTTTCGACTTCTTCTCAAGAACCGCTGGGCCAATTTCAACCAAACTTGCCACAAAGCATCCTTGGGTGAAGGGGATTCAAATTTGTTCAAATGAAGGGCCAAGCCCTCATTCAAGGAGAGATAATTGAGAATTAGTGAAAATTGGGTAGTATGTTTTAAAAATCTTCTTCTCAAGAACCACTGTGCCAGGAAAAATGAAACTTATGGGGAAACATCCTAAGGTAGTGTAGATTAAATTTTGTTCAAATCATATCCCCCGGGGGTAGGGCGGGGCCACAATGGCCGACCAAAGTTTTACATAGAAATATATAGGAAAATTCTTAAAAAATCTTCTTCTCAAGAATGAAAAAGCCATAATTCATCAAATTTATATGGAAGCATGCTCAGGTAGTTTAGATTCAATTTTGTTCAAATCATGACCCCCGGGGGTAGGGCGGGGCCAAAATGGCCGACCAAAGTTTTACATAGAAATATATAGGAAAATTCTTTAAAAATCTTCTTCTGAAGAATGACAAAGCCATAATTCATCATATTTATATGGAAGCATGTTCAGGTAGTGTAGATTCAAGTTTCTTCAAATCATGACCCCCGGGGGTAGGGCGGGGCCAAAATGGCCTACCAAAATTTTACATAGAAATATATAGGAAAATTCTTTAAAAATCTTCTTCTGAAGAATGACAAAGCCAAAATTCATCATATTTATATGAAAGTGTGCTCAGGTAGTGTAAATTCAAGTTTGTTCAAATCATGACCCCCGGGGGTAGAGCAGGGCCAAAATGGCCTATCAAAGTTTTACATAGAAATATATAGGAAAATTCTTTAAAAATCTTCTTCTGAAGAATGACAAAGCCATAATTCATCATATTAATATGGAAGCATGTTCAGGTAGTGTAGATTCAAGTTTGTTCAAATCATGACCCCCGGGGGTAGGGTGGGGCCACAATGTCCGACCAAAGTTTTACATAGAAATATATAGGAAAAATTTAAAAAAAATCTTCTTAAGAATGACAAAGGCATAATTCATCATATTTATATGGAAGCATGCTCTGGTAGTGTAGATTCAAGTTTGTTCAAATCATGACCCTCGGGGGTAGGGCGGGGCCAAAATGGCTGACCAAAGTTTTACATAGAAATATATAGGAAAATTCTTTAAAAATCTTCTTCTCAAGAATGACAAAGGCATAATTCATCAAATTTATATGGAAGCATGCTCAGGTAGTGTAGATTCAAGTTTGTTCAAATCATGACCCCCAGGGGTAGGGCGGGGCCAAAATGGCCGACCAAAGTTTTACATAGAAATAAATAGGAAAATTCTTTAAAAATCATTTTCTAAAAAATAGCAAATCCATGAGTGGCCATGGGACTACTTTTGGATTTAAACTTTAGAATAAAAAGCCATTTTCTACTTTTTCCTACCCTTAGTGCTCAGGTGAGCGATGTGGCCCATTGGCCTCTTGTTGTTGCTTTAGTATATAAATTTGATAACCTTGCAGATTCCAGGGGGGAATCCTGACCCCCGGCCCCCTCTAGATCTGTGCATGAAGGCCAAAAATCATCTAATCAAATCATTTCTCAATCAACAAGTTGAAAAACAACCTCAATTGTGTTGCATGGGTGACCCTGACCCCTCTTTTTTTAAAAAAAACATTTGAATCAATGTAAGAAGATCTGTAATCTGTATAATGCAGATATAAATAGGAAACTTACTCAAATTTGTTTTAAATTTTTAGCAGCTGGTGATGTAAATACATTCAGTGTGTATTTCCGATTTTGTACATTATTATATATTTTTTGTTTAATTTTGTAGATGGAGATACACTATTGATGTGTCTTCTTCTGTCCAATTCCTACAAAATAAACATGAAAGAAGGAAACTGGATGACCAAATATAATGCTGTTGCCAAATGTCTTAACTCAAAGGAAATCAAAAAGCCATTTGTCTATACACATTTAGAAAATTACAAACCAATTCTGAAACTCAATGAATCAGAGATCAGTTTTTCCTCTGAGGTCTTCAAAAACATTAGTTTCCTTAAATTTTCTAAGAGTTTTGAGTTTAACTTTACCGATATTTTCTTAAGTTGGGCAAAAAAAGAAAACATTGCTGAGTACTGTAGATCCTGGAATTATCGGAGAGGAGAGGATGAAGTTTGCTGTTGGTTACTGCCAGAAAAAAATGAGGAGTTTTTAGAAAGACTTGGAGAAGATGTTTTCACACACCCAACCATGGAAGACCAGTCATTCCATGAAGACGTATTTAGGAAACGTAAGTCTATTTTCAGCTCACCTTGACTAGTTACTTGAATAAAATTTAATGATTTAAAAGAAGTTTTTGGCTAATGAATAACATGTATAGTATTTGTCCCTGATTTCATCAATAACTTAAAACTTTCAAATCTTTAGCTCACCTGAGCCGAAGGCTCAAGTGAGCTTTTCTGATCACATTTTATCTGTAGTCCGTCTGTCCGTCCGTCTGTCTGTAAACTTTTCACATTTTCGACTTCTTCTCAAGAACTGCTGGGCCAATTTCAACCAAACTTGCCACAAAGTATCCTTGGGTAAAGGGGATTCAAGTTTGTTCAAATGAAGGGCCATGCCCTCATTCAAGGGGAGATAATTGGGAATTAATAAAAATTTGGTGGTATGTTTTAAAAATCTTCTTCTGAAGAACCACTGTGCCAGTAAAGCTGAAACTTATATGGAAGCATCCTCCGGTAGTATAGAGACAAGTTTTTCAAATCATGACCCCTCGGGGTAGGGCGGGGCCACAATGGCCGACCAAAGTTTTGCATAGAATGATATAGGTAAATTCTTAAAAAATCTTCTCAAGAACCACTGTGCTAGAAAAGCTGAAACTTATATGGAAGTATCCTCAGGTAATGTAAATTCAAGTTTGTTCAAATCATGACCCCCCGGGGTAAGGCGGGGCCACAATGGCCGACTAAAGTTTTACATAGAAAGATATGAGAATTCTTAAAAAATCATCTTCTCAAGAACCACTGTACCAGAAAAGCTGAAACTAATATGGAAGCATCCTCAGGAAGTGTAGATTCAAGTTTGTTAAAACCATGACCCTCTGGGGTAGGGCGGGGCCACAATGGCTGACCAAAGTTTTACATAGAAAGATATAGGTAAATTCTTTAAAAATCTTCTTCTCAAGAACCACTTTGCCAGGAAAGCTGAAACTTATGTGGAAGCATCCTCAGGTAGTGTAGATTCAAGTTTGTTCAAATTATGACCCCCGGCGGTAGGGCGGGGCCACAATGGCCGACTAAAGTTTTAAATAGAAAGATATAGGAAAATTCTTTAAAAACCTTCTTCTCAAGAACCACTATGACAGGACAGAAATATATTGAAAATGCTTTAAAAATCTTTTTCTCAAGAAAAGTAAAGTCATAATTGATCATATTTATATGGAAGTATCCTCAGGTACTGTAGATTCTAGTTTGGTCAAATCATGACCCCCAGGAGTAGGGCGGGGCCAAAATGGCCAATCAAAGTTTCATATAGAAATACATAGGAAAATTCTTTAAAAATCTTCTTCTCAAGAAAAGCAAAGCCATAATTGATCATATTAATATGGAAGCATCCTCAGGTAGTGTAGATTCATGTTTGTTCAAGTCATGACCCCCAGGGGTAGGGCGGGGTCAAAATGGCCAATTTAAGTTTTGCATAGAAATATATAGGAACATTTTTAAAGATTTCTTCTCAAGAATAGCAAAGCAATGATTGGTCATGGGACTACTTTTGGATTTAAACTTTTCAATAATAAACCAATTTCTACTTTTTCCTAGCCACAGTGCTCAGGTGAGCGATGTGGCCCATGGGCCTCTTGTTTAGAATTTAATTAAACTTAGATGAAATTACTGTTGGGTAACTGTTGGGTTACTGTTACAAAACTTATGCATTTTTTAAAGACAGTTTATATGCAACTATTGATTCACGGTTTAATTAGTCAGAATGCAATGCTTGTCACATTTAAAACTTTGTCAAATAAGTATGCAATTCAGTTTGTGTTACATCAAATTTTAAGATGTTATTATGTTGCATGTATTGGCTTATGATCATTGCTAGACAAACAGACTTATGTTTTAAAAAGTATAATGCTGAGTATTGTTTTAACAGTAAAGGTATTCTAATTTAATTAAAATAAAAATGTTAATCTTTCTTTTTAGGTCACCTGAGTAAACTCAGGTGACCTATTGCTATCCGTTTTCGTCCGTCGTCGTGCGTTAACATTTGAACATTTTCAGCTTCTTCTCTGCAACAACTGAACCAATTTCAACCAAATTTGGCACAAAGCATCTATGGGTGAAGGGGAACAAAAATTGTGAATTTCATGATCCCTGCCCCCTTGGGCCTGAGGGGTGGGGCCAAAACCACTAAAATTTATGCAATCTTTAAAAATCTTCTTCTTTACTCCTGGACATCAAGCAATCGAACTGTTTGCATGATTGAAATCAGCAATGAGTCCTCTACCAAAATTGTGAAATTCATGGCCCTTGGGTCAGGGGTTCTAGTGTTAGGGCGGGGCTAAATAAGTAGGTAGTGAAAATGCATTATTTCTTTGAAAATCTTCTTCTCTGCTCCTGGGTATTAAATAACACAACAAAGTACATAATTATGATGAGCAAGAGTGCCTCTACCAAAATTGTGAATTTTATGGCCCCAGGGTCAGGGGTTCTGGTGTTAGGGCGGGGCTGTATTAATTATATAGTGAAAATACATTATTTCTTTGAAAATCTTCTGGGTATTAAATAAACTAACTAAGTACATAGTTATGATGAGCAAGAGTGCCTCTACCCAAATATTGTGAATTTTAGGGCCCCAGGGTCAGGGGTTCTTGTTTTAGGGTGGGGCTCTAATGATTATATAGTGAATTGCATGAATTCTTTGAACATCTTATCCTTTGCTCCTGGTTAATATGCTAATGATCTAATTACATATTTAAGGCCAGGATTTATTTTATTTTCAGTTGTACAAAGCCTCCGCTCAAGGTTTTGAATTTTCAGAAAAAAATAAAATAAATTTTTTTCTTTCCGATGTCAAATATGAGTCGGGATCGAGATTTCAAATACACGAACTCGCACTTCCGGTTTTAAGATGAAACGGCGGGTAAATAAAGCTACATCTGAGAAGATAGCTTGATTTAGTGTAAAATTCATAGATACGAGTGCCATTCAAAACGTTTCACCCGTTCAAAGGACAAAGAAAATGCTGACGACTTTGTTGCACAATGACATGCTGGTGAAATAATTATGTATTCGTTTCAAAAGTATCTGTCTGTAAATTATTTTCCTCCCCCAGGTTTTAAACTGCCCGTGGACGCAGTGTTCGAAATTCGGAATTATTTTCTGTGGGTCCCTTGGACCCACTGATAAAGGGTCTACACAAGTCCTTCCAAGGCAGCATAGGCCCAACAATAATACCATCAAATATTTTTGGAAAATAAACTTAAATTGAAAATCTTGTTAAATCGATTCCTGACTTATAAGAAAATCATGTTATGTAACAAAAAAATATGTTGATATTACTGTAAACATATTTTTTTGTTTCCTGTAACACCCCCCTCCAAAAAAAACAGGGTCTGTCTGTCGGGGTTTTTTTTTTGCCTACTGTAGGATCTCACATATATAAGCATAATAAAGTTTCCTTTTAAAACATTAATTTTCACTTTCCCTAAATACCTAAATAAATAAGGCAAAACATCCCAGGACTGAAGTAAACAGGTAGGATATTTACAGTAGACACCCAACATGGCTGTCTTGCGATAGAAAAAGAAGCTAAACAAATTGGGGGAGGAAACGCTAGATAATATAAAAATGATCATTCCTCTTCATATTTAAGTGAAGGTTGACTAGGATGACATATTTATATTTCAACTAAAGCTTCAATTGACATTCTTTATAAAAATTGCATCAGCTGACTGAAAGCGGCACAGATATGATATCAATTTCAATGTGTCGGTAGGGTTATAGGAAAGAAACATATTTTTTAGGCCTTCTTTCTTGGCAAATCATCATCGGCCCAAAATCATTTTAAGGACCCATTTAGTCATACTATACATGAGTCCTTCCGTTTGTACGTCGGCGCAGGACCGACGGACCGACGCTAATTTCGAACACTGCCCGTGGTAGCTATTGCATATTGCCAGCGACATTGTTTAGGTATCTGTTATAGCTTACAGTCTAAGCATCATTCTTCAGATAAGGGTTGCGTATGCATCAGATGTAATGAATAAAACTATGGGAGAAGTTAAGACCATTTGAGGTCAGAAGAAATGAACAATAACCTGAAGAAATAAAAAAAAAATTCAACTATTAAAAGGCAAGAATATACAAATATATACAGGCATGTAGTATCATTTGTATCAGCCAGAGAAATTATTTTACACTTAATTGAAAAAATGTTCACCGTACTCCCTAATACTCCCTGTCTGTTTTATGATAGGAATTATAATTTTAGGCATCAAGTAATTTGAGAACAATGTCTACACATTCACCTAACACATATTAAAAAAATGAAGATATATTGAAAGACTTTCAAAGAATTGATTTTTTAAAATATATTTTGACCAACATCACAAAATTTATATAACTGGCCCACACTGGCAGATGATGAAATAAGCAATTAAATGTTCTACTTTCCTATTTGTTAGCATTATGTGTCCAGTGGTAAGGAGCCTATTAGAATAGCATAAAAAAAGAATGTACAATTGATTTATCAATTTTTTTTTTTATTATTTCCTTTTCCTTCCGGACTTTTTTATTCTCATGTTCATAACTAAACCTAAACATAAAAAAAAATGCTGGCCTTATAATGAAGAGAGGGGCCTCTTTCAAAATAGATAAATTCAGGGCCACTGGGTCAGGGGTACCATGGGGGTACTTTGACTAAAAATAAATTAATGCTTTGAAATCTGCCCTTTGATAAGCAATGGTGCCTCTTTCAAAATTTGTGAATTTCATGGCTTTTGGATCAAAACACGAACCAAATACGATCGCTGGAAAGTTGTTACATGATACTCAGGTGACCTATAAGGCCCGTGGGCCTCTTGTCTACTTTTATTTTTAATTGCCATACTGATAAGGGATTAAAAAAAATCTCCATGATTGAAGGTTATTTTTATGATTGTTTATAATCATTTGTTTGACTCCGTCACAGCTTTGTAATGTTAGAGTTTTGTTATTATAGTTGGAATACCAATGCAGATCATCATAAGGGGAGACAAATCTGTGAAGAACTTCATTGAGAATTTAAAGAAAGGGAAGACAACCATGTACCACGCCTCTGGGATGATAATAGGGTGTGCTGGTAGTGGGAAAACAACATTGTTAGAGAGACTAAAGGGCATTGACTTGGAGAAAATAAAGAAAAATATCAGGTCAACTAGAGGAGTTGATATCCACACAGATGTGTTTGATGTGAAAGAAAGCATCCAAGGTATTTTTAGCTCACCATAGCTGAAGGCATAAGTGAGCTTTTCTGATCACATTTTGTCCATCGTCCGTCTAGCTGTCTGTCCATCTGTAAACTTTTCACATTTTCGACTTCTCTGCAATAGCGACTCAGCCAATGTTAACGAAACTTGATACAAAGCATCCTTAGGTGAAGAGAAATTTCAATTGTAAAATTGACAGGCCAAGTTACCATACAAGGGGAGATAATCAAGAAAAGACAAAATAGGGTGGGTCATTAAAAAATCTTCTTCTCAAGAACCACAACGCAAGAAAAGCTGAAACTTATGTGGAAGCACCACCTCCCCCCTCTACACCTATTTGTCTGCTTGTAAAGTAGGGTGTTTAATAGCGATGAGTGTGTCCTCCTATCCACCTTTCCATCAGTCCGTCTATTACATTTTGGGGTATCCATCTCATATCTGCAACTCCTTATTACAACTTAACCACTGAATAAAAATCTGTACCACAGGCACTTAATAAAACTAATGAAACTTTCATAGAATCTTTGTTATATAGCGAAATTTTAAACCGTCTGTTATACTCTCTGAATGGACACAAGATGCAAAACATAGAAACTACCATTATATTGGTGGTAACCCATCTCGTATTTGCAACTCCACCTGTACAACTTAATAAAGTCAAATGACAATTTCACATAATATTTATACCCCCGCAAACAAAGTTTGGGGGGGGGTGTATATAGGAATCACCTTGTCCGTCTGTCCGTCCGTCCGCCTGTCTGTGCAATCGTGTCCGGTCCATATCTTTCTTACAGAGGAACATTAGAATCTACTACTCCACACAAAGATTGCCCATGACCTAAGGGTGTGTCATGACCTTGACCCAAGGTCATTTGGGGAAGTTCAAGGTCACTGGAAGAAAAATTTCATAATTCGTGTCCTATCCATATCTTTCTTATGGATAAACTTTGTATGTTCTAATTTCACACAAAGATTGCCCATGACCTAAGGGTGTGTCATGACCTTGACCCAAGGTCATTTGGGGAAGTTCAAGGTCACTGGAAGAAAAATTTCATAATTGTGTCTGGTCCATATCTTTCTTATGGGTAAACTTGGTAGGTTCTCATTTTACACAAAGATTGCCCATGACCTAAGAGTGTGTCATGACCTTGACCCAAGGTCATTTGGGGAAGTTCAAGGTCACTGGAAGAAAAATTTCAAAATTTTGTGTCCGGTCCATATCTCTCTTATGGATAAACTTGGTAGGTTCTCATTTCAGACAAAGATTGCCCATGACTTAAGAGTGTGTCATGACCTTGACCCAAGGTCATTTGGGAAAGTTGAAGGTCACTGGAAGAAAAATTTTATAATTGTGTCTGGTCCATATCTTTCTTATGGGTAAACTTGGTAGGTTCTCATTTTACACAAAGATTGCCCATGACCCAAGGGTGTGTCATGACCTTGACCTAAGGTCATTAGGGGAAGTTAAAGGTCACTGGAAAAAAATTAAAAATTCCTCTTTGAAACATATCTTTATTATGGAAAAACTTACTTCTGAAAAACCCAGCGGGGGGTATTTTGTCCTGTTTGGACAGTTCTAGTTACTACATACTATCATTGCGTATCTCCTTCTTTATGTTAAGATTGGACAGATATTTGGTTTTTTAATAGTAAAACAGACTTCACCATTATACTCATATGGAACCTGTGGATATCATTTTGTGAGCTCAATACTCTCAGTACCTCTAGATTTTATTTCTTGAGTTGTAGATTTATATAAAGTAGAATAAATGTCTATTTGCATAAAGAACAGGGACAACAAAGAGAGACGGTGTTAAATGTGTATGCATTTTTATTTACAGCAAATTCTTCAAGCCAACAACAACGCTTCAAACTTCAACTTGATAAAAAAGATCTGCACCAGAGTCTTCCTAAATCTCATTCAAAAAATGCAGCTGATGTTGGAGAAACGCAGGAAAAGATGGAACCAGAAGATGATGAGGCCAGTATGACTGAAGCATCAAACAGTGGACAGATATCACATGATGATACCATCATTAAAACAACCTCATCCCATGAACCACAGGGGGCCACATCACCAGAAAATGTAGCAGAAGTTATGAATGAAAGAAAAGATTTTCGTCATGTTCCAGAAATTTTTGGAAATTTACAGATAGGTGCAGTAAATATTTCAGAAGATCCAGATAAAAAAATAACTATGACTGACTTTGCAGGACAGTGTTCATATTATGCCTCACACCAGATTTTTTTGAGTCCCCGGGCGTTCTTCATTCTGGTGCTGAATATGGAGAAGAAGTTTGATGATAAGGTTGGAGAAGAAGTGTGTTGTCAGGAAGGCTCCGTTTACGGGGGATGGACAAATAGAGGTAATATTCACTTAGTACACTTATGGCCCCAAAAATCGTTTTTATGTACCACCGCATTAGATCAAAATGTTATGCATTGATAAATGTTATTGACATATTAAAAAAGAAATAATTAAATTTTCCATATTTTCAGAACCTATCTGTCCCATTGAATTTTGAAACTTTTATCATAAAATGAGAATTATTTTTTATTTTGTTTGTCTTCCTGTGCAGCTTAACGAAGGCAATAAGTTTGTTTCCTCTATGCACCGCCTTGTAAATGGCTCTGACATATAGAGTTTCTCATTTACGTATGCCATCATTTCCTGCAATCTATCTTAAAGAAAACTCTTACAGCTGAATGTGTCTTTGTTTTTCAGATTATCTAGAATTCTGGATGAAGTCCATTCATCAATATGGCAGTGATAAGGCTCCTGTCATCCTGGTTGGTACACATTGTGAGAACAAAAAAGAAAAGGTATCATTTTTCAAAACTGTTATTCATTGTTTACACAAACATTTTACTTTGTCATTGTTTTCTGATCTGTAAATATTTATTATAATATTTAGAGACATACATGTGTTTCATAAACTCTGTTGGAACAAAACATTAACAATCAATGTATGATTATGAACATTATTATTTAACTATGACTAATTTGTTAGCATAAGATAAAATAAGGAATTTGTTTTCGTTAGGAAAAAGAATCGTTTTTCCGAGAAGTTTGGAAGACTCTTGACATGAAGAAGAAGTCTCTGCAAAGACATATTGATGTGAAACGTCGATTTGCGGTTGGATTCCATGACAATGAAAGCATTGAAAAACTTAAGCTGTCCATTGCTGATGTTGTGTGCAAGCTTGATCACTGGGGTGAAGAGCTTCCACAGTCATGGGCTATGTTTGAAACATTCTTTCAGGAAAAGAAAATTCGCAAGATTTTGAGTAGGGTCGAACTTCAGTCTTTCAATGAAACATTGCCAGAGGGAATAAAGCTCTGTACTATTGAAGATATGGATGCCATGCTGCAGTTCTTCCATGACATCAGAGAACTTATACACTTCAATCAACAATTCCTCAATGAAGCTATTATTTTCGATGTTCAATGGTTTGCAGATGCATTTAAAAATGTCATTACAGATAAAAACCATGCAAAAGAAGATTTATTTGAATTTGCATCAGAATGGGACAAATTCGATGAAACTGGAGAGATAGATGAAGCACTGCTATCTGCTATATGGAGAATGAACAACAATGGTTACCTTGAACACAAAGAGGATATCCTGATGTACATGGAGAAGTTAGGACTCTTAGCTAAAATGAGCGACAAAATTTGGTATGTCCCCTGTATGAACAAGATGCAATTTCCAGTAGAATGTTTTTCATCTTACCCTGCCTCCTCCATCCTTTGCTACACGTTTGATGTTCTTCCTGTAGAGATTTTCCATCGCCTTGTAGCAACTTGCATGCAGATTCCCTGGGAGATTTTTTCAGATGAAGAAAGATTATGCATTTACCAGACTGCAGCTATTTTTGTGTTTCATGACCAGCACCATAACATCATGCTTGGAATGACTCGAACAGAAATTCAGTTGCAAGTGTTTGTTGTGGAGGGAGAAGTTGATGTTTTAACCTGTCACCAGATTAGAGAAAACGTTGAGTGTATATTAGATAACCTTTCCAAAACATTCCAGAAAAACTCGAAATATCAGGTTGGGTTCAAATGCAAGCCTTCTGGGTTTTGTGACAGGAAAGAAAGTGCTGTCATAAAGCAATCAATGTTAACAAGAGCAAGTTTTCAATGTCCTTCCTGTCCAGCAAACAAGAAGCATCCTATCAACACAAAATATATCATGAAATATTGGAAACAGGTACATCAGAATATTATTTATATCCTAAAAAATACAAATTGTGGCACACAATTTTGAGTGTGGTTGTATTTACCGGTATGTCATCAGGTGTATATTGCTCCTTAGAATGTTGTTGCCACTTTATTTATTTGTTTACAGCCCGGTTTTGTTTTAAAAATTCATATTCTGGTCATTTATGTGTCTCGAGGTTAAAACAGTGGGTTTTTTTATTTAATTTTCTTCTCGAAATTAACAAAGAAAAAAGTTTTTCAGGTGAGTATTAAGGCACTTGAACCTCCAATATGTTCATAGGTATTAAAGACCAATGAATATGGTAGAGAACTAGATTTAAAAAAAATCTGGATTCAATATATTGTATTTTAACCTTGAGGACATGATTTGAAAATGTTTGATTCCAAAAGTTACAAAGACAAAATTTGAAAAAAAGAACCCAATGTAATCTGAAGATGTTAGTCACTGATTCTTGATAGAAAACTAGTATAGAATTGCCCGATTTATATGATCTGCACTTCCTGTGATTTTTTTTTAAAATAGAAGTCTAAATAATTGATTACTGAGTAGTTGTTATATGCCAGCTAATACTGTATAGGGGATTAATTTCACGGCTTGTAATTTTCACGATTTTCTCTCATTGAACAAGATCGCGGTTTCTTGAATTTGCGGAATTCTTATGTTATAGAAGTTACCTCCCTTGTCTATATCCGTTTAATTTATAGCTACATGTAAACGACATTCATCATTGTTATGTTTTTATTTCACGAACAACAGGGTAAGTTAATATAAAAAAGTTAGACTTAATAAATAATTGACAATCAATTAAAACAGGTGCAGTTATCAAAAGTCCTTGACTAATAACGTCAAATAACTTTCCTATATTCTATTACGATGAGTGCATACATGTACACCCCAAGATCTTTAATACATCGTGGCGAAAAACCACTGGACGGTAATGAATGTGTTCATGTAGGTCGACGAAATAATATCATTCCAAATCTTGAGTAAGTTCGATAGTTATTTGAATGATTTTTTGAAAATCAAAATGTCGATAAAAACTAAAATATGCATGAAAATGCAGGTAATGCACACACCGTAGGTGTTAACATTAGTTACGCACGAGTAATCAAAACTCATGGCCCACGAGTTTAGATTGATGAAACATGTAGCATTGGCTATTAAAAAGCCTTTTAACAAATACAGGTTATTATCTGTGGACTTGAATTAATGTAAAGCGTGCTAATTAAAATAATTGAATGACGAGTACTACTCGTAATTACTGAAATGACCATGTACTGCGGTACATATATTTAAATCTATCGTAGTCTATTCTCAAATTTCCAAAAAAACCTTGGAGATTATTGTAAATTTATTCACTGTTTCTTGAATTCACGGATTTATTAACACCGTGAATATAGCGTATATTAAGGTGATTCGAACCTGACGAAATCAAATCTACCGCGCAACTCGAACTGCTGAAAATAGGCTGATCACTGCTAATGTCGTGATACTCATTATTACGTCTCATTTTGTTATAAAAGTAATTTAATGGACCACAAGCAACGATTGATAGACAAATAAAGTAATTTTCAATAGAATTCTGATTAAATCATTCAACATTGGCTTTTCGAGTCATCTTCCGACATCAGGAATTTACGACAATTACCTGGCCGCTTTCCGCCACCATGTTGACACAGAGAGAGTCTCTTTTATTTTCAAGGAAAAAACACTTTTTTCGCTTGTTTTTGTATCCAAGAAGTGTACCGATCTATGCTGTTTGGAACCTTGCAACAACCGTTCAGGCGATTTTATTTTTAGGTACAACATGCACGACAAGATCAAGATGTAACCCCATGGTTTTCAGGTAAATACAACAAAACGTTCCGACCGAGACTTTTTTGTTTACTATGTTTGGTACGCAATGTCTTCTAAGAAGACACAATTTATCTTCATCATGATGAAAGGTTAGCTCATCGAGTAAATGCAGAAGTATAATCTGATCTATCTACGCTTTTGTCTCATCTCGAAAATGAAGGGAAAAAATTCACATGACTGCTATTGGCAGTGCATAGAATGAGTCAAAGACACCATTGATGCAGTGAGTTCTTATTCTCTTGATAAAGATATTTTAAAATTTTTATACTTGTCCTTTAAAAAAATATTGAATATATTCACACAAATGAGAAAATAACAAAAAAATCATGCACATTTCATGATTTGTTATTGAGTGACTGAAAAAAATAGCTCCCATGTTTATAATTTTTTAAATATGAGTTGATGTCTTTCCTACAAACTTGATGCAATGTCACACAGTGTAAAATAACATAAAGAAGTCTTTTTAAAAAAAACAGCTGACCATTGTGACCAATTTTTATATTATATGTATTCTCATGTTATAAAACATTATTGAGGACACTGGTTCTAAGTTCTTGTTCACAGCATACATTCATTTATTAGTTTTTGTTCGAAATTAATTTATAAAAAGGAAGGCCTAAAATTTTCAGAGAAGTCTATAAAATTCACATGTAAGTGGAATACTGTCAGATAAGTGATTTGTTTTTTTTAATAGGTTTTTAATAACGGCCAAAGGAACAGACTGGAGTTTCCATCAGTATGCAGTCAAAATGTACAACCTGAATCAACACTGTGCAGTATAATCCCTTTGATCCAGATGTGCTACTGTGATGCTGAAACCATCTGGCTGGGTATGAAAAAATTATAATTCTAAATTGATGAACTTTTCAAATTTTAAAAAGTAAACTTGCTAAAATAATTATAGTACATGCAAGAATGATAAAATGTACATATAACTGTATACCAGGGAAATTTCACTCCCTTTAAGTTTTATTGTTGCCCCTTTCACCCTGACCTCGGTTGGCCGAATTCAAAGAACACAACATATTTTAAATCCCTGTATCATCTACAAAATTAATGAATTCAAAATCCTTTGTATTATCCTTGGGGTAAGTTTAAATCAATGAAAGAGCCATGACAAATCTAGAAAATGAATGTTAAACTCTTCAATTTGAGAGTGATTTTTGATTTTCCCATATGATGTTGCACAGTATTCAAGGTTTGTGACATAAATGTAAAATTGAAAAAACTTAATATTTACCTTTGGAGCTTACTGTCAATGTAATTTTGTATTATATGCCCCAAATTCTATGCATTTTATAGGCTAAATACATGCGGAATGTAAATATTATTTTGTACCAGTATGTATAATGCTATTTTTATTTCATTGTAACTATTTCTATTAGAATATCAATAATCAGTCAGTAATAGGTAATTTTATAAAAGATGTTACATTATTACATGTATATTCAGTATCCACCTGTCAATAAGGCTGTAACTGAACTTAATTTTTTTTTTCAGGCTAAGAATCACATCTGTGTTGAATTTGGCCACATGTCAACATGACTGAGGTGTTTACACTCAAGCTGCAATGAAAGACCGAGGCTAATTGTTCATCAGAATTTTACCAATTGAAAGCCACAGAAAGTCAAGATTAAAGTTGGAAAAATAAGGGGAAGAAGCTTTTGTGTCAGAACCTCCCTTAAGATTTAAAGTACTTTTGTATGAACAGACCTGCTGCAAACATGTAAATGATATACTTTTTGAGGAACTTTTGTCATACTAAATCCGTCTTTTTTTCAGTTCTCTTATTCTTAAGTTTAAGCTTGCAAAAGTTTAGCAATGATACATTATACATATAAAGCATGGTTTCAAGGGCAGCATACCAAAATTTCTGCCCCTCGGTGACAGGAAAGCCCTGAAGTATTATGTCACCCGATGCCAAAGGCAAAGGGCTACATAACACTTCTGGGCTTTCCTGTCACAGAGGGGCATATATTATGGTATTAATGCCCGAGAATTAAGCCATGTTATATATGGTATTTAACATTTTTAATTATTGAATCCTAATCAATCATCGGACATATTTATTGAACACTAGGCCTAGGTAAACATGTACTTTGAGTATAATTCAGAAATATTCTGTCCTGTTTCATTGCAGAGAGTTTTCAGTATACTGACGAGTTGATAACCTTTGTTGTATTTAAGGATTTTTTTCTCCTCAATTAAATTATTTAATTCATCTAAATTCAAATAAACAAATCAAAGATGTTGTCCCTATTTTTTAATTTTAGCAGTTTTTATCTTTGCTTAGCAACTGCCTCTGTAAATTTCGAACCTGACATATTTAATACACAGAATGATTGCACGCCAGGGAACATAAATGTGTTCGGGAGGGCAATATAACTGTTTCCGGTGGAACATAACTATATCCGGCATGATTAAGCAGTTTTTCTGGGCATATTGATGAAAATGATATATTTGTGATTTAATGGGAAAACTTCTTCAAAAATGTTATATAAGTCTTTTGTCATTTTTGTCATGTGTGTGTGTGTGTGTGTGTGTTCAAAAAGATTGTAAACCGTTGATCTTAATCTTAATTTACTGAAATTTGGTCTTATGTACATCACTATGTTCCATATTCCGATATGATATATAATATTTTAAATGGCAGTCCATGAATATATATTTTTTATACCCCACTCCGAAGGAGAGGGGGTATACTGTGTTACCATTGTGTGTCTATCTGTCTGTCTGTGTCAATCCGAAACAAATTTTTGTCGCAGTTTACTCAGCAACTACTCATTGTAGATGCTTGAAATTTTAACACAATCTTCTCTAAGGCATGCCATATGTTTAGCTACAATTTTTTTCAAATCGATTATCAACATCCTGTTTGACTGTGTGTCTGTCTGTTTCACACATAATAAATTTTCGTCGCAGTTTTCTCATTAGCTATTCATAGCGGATGCTTGAAATTTTATTACACTCTTTGTTGAGGCATGCCATATGGTGGGATTAATTTTGATATGAATCTGATGTCAACTTCATATTTTTCTGTGCATCTGCCTGTAATTGAACTTGTGTATATTAACATGATAGTGCTTATTTACATAGGAGCGGGCGTATAACTAGTGAGCATTGGCTCACAGATTTCTTGTTTTTATTAAGGCAAACATTTTACATTATTGATTTGTTATTTTAAAAATTCAGAGGAAATTCGGATTTGTAATGTGCACTTTTTTCACCTGAACTATGCAAATATGTCACTGTTATTTTCTAAATTAGGTATACGTATAAAATCTTTAAAAAATTATGAAAAATTTTGTATCATGATATTGTGTTAAATGTTTAATTCGTCTAGAATCAATTCAAGTTTTAGGTTAAAAAAGCATAGGAAATTCGGAAATTTAATGTAAATTTTAAAATTCTTAAAATTTTATTTTATTTTTTCTCCAAAAGTATTTTTTAAAGTTTGTTTTTAACATATTTTATTAAATAAATTGACATTGATTAATTTTGATTAAGCTGTATATGCACAATTGCCATTATATGTATTTTGGGGTAATTTTTAAAAATAGACCAGAGGAAATTCGGATTACAATATCTTTTTATTTGACTCATGATCATACCAATTTCTCCCCTCTGTTACTGAGCTATATACCTCTTATTTAAAATAAAGTTTAGAAAATAAATATCCAATTACTTTTAGTGTGTTTTTATAACCATTTTTGTTGTCAAGGTTAAGAAAAAATGGACAATTTTTAAGACGACAGAGGAAATTCAGGCTGTCGTAGAATGTTGTTGGAATGTTCTATCTATGTGTAAAAATGACAAGATGATGTTGATCTGTTACCCTATTTTATACATGAAAATAAATAAATTCTGATGATAATTTGTAAGTTTTTTAATACTTTTTTTTACTGGCAGTGGGATTTTTTTCACAGATTTTACATTTTTAAACAAGGGCATATTCAGAGGTTGTTGCCATGGAAACGAGCGCACTACCATATATATTTTTTTATGATTCTTAAACCACAAACTTGTCCTTTATCCGAAGGTAACCATCTTTTAAAATTCCAATTACTTTCACGACAGGTTCGAATCACCTTAACACCGCGAGTTATTTTCCCCCTATACAGTAATTCTGAGGCTATTCATGAAATTAACATTGTTAACCATTTTATGGCTTGTTAAAATGATTATAATTTTTCAACTTTCTTGAAGATGCAAAATTCTTATTTCTCTGAAATACAAAAATGTATATTATGAAAGAGTCTATGGGTATTTAAATATACATGTACACCTTAACTTGATACCCCCTCCTTTCTATTTTGTAAAACAGGATAGCCTGTCTGAGAGTGGAACCAGTGAAGACACTGAAACAGGTCCCTGTATGTATTACATTTAATTCATTTATCTACGTAACTATGCATGTAGAACGGTAGAACCTGTACTATACTTATTTTTCAAAAGTTTAAAATAAAGGATATGGAGATAACGAACAGTATTTTTTAAAAAATATCAAAGTCCATATAACAGTACAAAAAAAAATCAGAGCAAACACGGTACTCAAAAAAGAATTAGGGAAAATACAATGCTGCAAACATTGATACCTGTTTGCTGATCTGTATTACCCACTGGAGTTGTCACAGAGCCACAATAGGGAATCATGTTTAACATTGAATATAAAGAAAAATATGTACAATTCTTCACAAGAACCAATAGGCAAGAAAAGCTTAATGTTCTAATATGAAAGCTTTCTTGGGCTGTGTAGATTCTAAATTGTTTAAAACATGACCAAAACGGTAGGGCTGGGATGCAACAGGGAATTAAAATTTTACATTTAATTCAGAATGAAGATGTTTGACAGAGTTTCGTCAATTCAAACCCTTGTTACAACACGAAATGTAATAACAAAACAAAATATAATACACTGTGATGATTACATTTTGCATTGATCTCGATGCAAAATGTTATAACACAAAATGTGATGGAACGATTTTTTGATTATTACATTTTTCGTTAATATGCAAAATTTAATATGCAACATTTTGCATAGAGATCAACGTGAAATATAATAATGTACATTTTATACCCCCCGCAAACGAAGTTTAGGGGGGTATATTGGAATCACCATGTCTGTCTGTCCGTCCGTCCGTCTGTCTGTAGACGAGATTTTGTCCGGACCATTACTCAGAAACTATTGGAAGGATTTGTCTGAAAATTTGTACACGTATTATTCACCATATGACGGTGTGCACCTGCTATTTTCATCTTGATTCGATTATTATTTTGAATTTTACAGGTGTTATTTTTTTCATTTTAATTTTGTGGTTTTATCCCGACCATTTCTCAGAAAGTATTGTAAGGATTAATCTGAAAAATTGTACACTTATTATTCACCATATGAAGGTGTGCACCTGGAATTTTCAACTCTTTTGGTTCATTTTTCTGCATTTTACAAGTTTTTTTTAAATTGACTTGTTCATTTTGGGCTCATGTATAAGGTTTGAGACATAGAATCTAGAATAACTGTAAAAAAATTTGAACTACAGCTTAAAACTACTCATAAAAACTTAAAAAAAAGAAACATCATCAAGTGTTAAAATCAGTTTTTACATTGCACAGAAGATAATGTAATTTCATTTGTCTCTTGGGAATAATGACTGGACATGCATCCAGTTAAAGATAAATTAATGAGTTTGGTGTGGGAAGTTGAACATTAAGGCATCTCATTATCAACTATGAGTTATCTCCTGGGAATCGGGCACAAGAATTAAAGATCCCTCTTCTCTTATTAGGGCCCCGCAAGGATTTGCGGGTGCCCTATAGTAATCACTCTGTCTGTCCGTCTGTCCGTCTGTCTCTCTTCCGTCCACAAATTTTCTGTTTTTTTCTAATAACTTTTTTTATGGTTGCCCAATCAAGTTCAAATTTGGTATGGTAGTTCAGTAGGCAGAAATACATATTTTGATGCTAAGTTTGGTTCTCAATGTCTTCTGGTTTGGAGCTGGGTGGTGGGGTAGATTCCTTAACTATGCATAAGAATGAATGGGCAACTTTTTTTTTATGGTTGCCCAATCAAGTTCAAATTTGGTATGGTAGTGCAGTAGGCAGAAATACATATTTTGATGCTAAGTTTGGTTCTCTATGTCCCCTGGTTTGGAGCTGGGGTGGTGGGGTAGATTCCTTAACTTTAGAATGCATTGGCAAAGAGAGATAACTGCTGATGATGTTCCCACTGTAAAATGAATGCTGGCTATGAGTCCCTTGGGATTAATTAGGTTTCCTCCTGAAGAAAATCCAGAGCATTATCTTTATCTGTCACATTGAGATTAATTACCACCTCTGTCTGCAAATGAAGTTTGTTTTGAAGTTAAGTCAATTTGGAATGCTATGAACACTGTGAAATGTGGATTAAGATATAAATTTTTATAATTTATTTTTGTTTAATAGTTATTTCATTGAATTCTAAAAACAAGAAATAGATTAAAGAAGATTTTTTGAATTATTTTTTTCACTTTACGTTAATTAATTTTTAAGGTAGTTTTATAAAAACCCCATTCTATCATTAATACTGAAAAAGTTCTTATTGTAACTTTAGAAGAAAATGATGAGAGAGGTACAATTAATCCTTTGGGATCAATTATCTAGCCTGCTGCAGAAAATTTAGTAGGCTTTTCTTTATCTTTAAGATTAATGAAAACCTTTGTCTGCAACTGCTGTTTGTTTGAAGTTAAGGTCAAGCCTTCATGATATTTGCATTCATTGAAGGCTGGCATTCTATATAACACAAGCTTCATAATTGTTTAATACATTCAATGTTAAATTGTTCTTTACTGCCTAATGTAAATACAAGGATATTATTTTCAGGTTTTTCAATATTCAGGAATTAATTATCTTGAAATTTTAAGAATACAGTTGCTGTTGCTTATTCTTCGTACATTTTTTAATCATTCCATAAGCTGCACCCTTATAATTCTACCCCATGGCGGGGCCCTTGCTGACTGGTCAGTTTTCTAGTTCTCTTAATTGTAATTTATTGTCTGTCAAAGCACTTCATTACTGGATGACCAGCTCTTTATTTTCAATTTGATATAAAGTTATCAAGATTAATGTAATTTTGTATAATATGATTTTTTTCAACAATCAGTTTGCAGAGTGTCATAACACATAATTGCAATATATTTTTTAAATGCAGAAATGAAAAAATAAAATAAAAAAAATAATGTTACAATGGAATTACAGTGTATTAGTATTGATGTTTCATTTGATTGCACCTTTGTTTCATTCATTAAGAAACATGTTGAGCAATTATATTTCACTGCAAATTTTTTTAAGTTAATAGTGAGCACCTCTAGATCCATCAAGTATTTTGAAGTTGCACCTTCTCTGAAAAACCCAGCGGGGGTATTTGTCCCTATTGGACAGTTCTAGTTCGTTTTTACATTTTGGGTTAATTAATTTCTGCATTACACAAAATGCAATTAAATTGACTTAAATATACATGTATAACCATGGGAAAACCCACTTTACAAAATAGTTGGAACTATGAGAATAATGTAACGTAAGGCCTTTTACAGACAGATATAATATTTTTAAACCCTGCCTCGGTTTCAGGAATTTTTCATTGGATACATTGTATATTTAAACCTAAATTTAACTTTGATTGACATGCTTTTAGCTTATCTGAGCCAAAGGCTCAAGTGAGCTTTTCTGATCAAAATGTCCATTTGTCCATTGTCTGTTGTTGTCGTTGCTGTTGTAAACTTTTCGCATTTTCATCTTCTTCTCAAGAAACACTAGACCAATTTCAATGAAACTGCTACAAAGTATCCTTGGGTAAAGGGGATTTAAGTTTGTTCAAATAAAGGGGTAACGCCTTCTTCCATAGGAGATAATTATGAATTACTGTGGAATCATTTTTATTCGTGGGGGTCAAGTTCGTGGGTAGCCAAAAATGTCTTAGTTCGTGGGGACGTAATTTCGTTGGTAACAAGTTCCATTTCGATTTTTTCCCTCCAACATTAAAACAAAGAAGGATAACCCCGTCAATAATGCTTATTTAAGTTATCTGTCTTGTGATTTGTAACAAAAATGTACTGGCGGCTTGCGCCGACAAATTACAGCCGAATGATAGAAACGATAATTAGTAACATTAATTAATTATAATTCACACTGTGACATGAGAACTACGACAACAATGCCAAAATTGACTTAAAAACGTTTACCCTGAAACCAAATCATGCTAATTGGCTAATTAGCACCCACTCCAAAATCGCACTAAAAGTTGACCTCATCGAAGGGGCATTTTAGCGTGTTGGACTTTAATGGAAACACTACTTAAATTAAACAGTTGTATTTATCATTTTATTACTTATTGTATATAGTTCTCGATGTCTTTGATACTTAATATATTATTTTTAATTTTGGTTCGTGTCAATAATTAACAACATGCAGATAGTCTTCGTTATGCGAGATCACTGGGACACAAGGGTAACAATTATTTTACGATGTAAATAACTTTTAACAAATGATAAACCAAATGTTTGTATATACGTTTGTGGGGATGTAAATTCGTGGGTTAAGGTTACCCACGAAAGCCACGAACATTGGTCCCCCATGAACAATGATGATTCCACAGTAGTGATAATTAATGGCATTTTCAAAAAATCTTCTTAAAAACCACTGGGCCAGGGAAGATGAAACTTAGGTGGTATCATCCTCAGGTAGTATAGATTAAGGTTTGTTCAAATCATGACACTCGGGGTAAGGGTGGGGCCACAATGGCCGATCAATTTTTACATAGGAATATATATGAAACATCTCTAAAAATCTTATTCTCAAGATCAACAGAGACAGGAAAGATGAAACCCATGTGGAATCATCCTCAGGTAGTGTACATTCAAGTTTGTTCAAATCATGGCCCCTGGGGATTGGATTGAGCCACAATAGCCGATAAAAGTTTAACATAGGAATATATAGGAAACATCTTTAAAAAATTTCTCAAAAACCCATTTGGCAGGAAAGATGAAACTCATGTTGAATCATTCTTAGATAGTGTACACTTTTTTTTCTAATCATTTATTCAATAACCTACAATGTAACCGTGAGGCAAAATAATCCACAGAAGCCCTCTGGTAATACCTTACCTGGAGTACCATGTGCTCCCTGGATCGGTATAATAAGATATATATCCAATTTTTAATCACAGAATTTTTTCACATTATACTACAGTTGTACTATATAATCATTGACGCTTCAATTTCATACATATACATAAATATATCATTTTAAAAAATGCACTATTTTTTTATGTAACAAAGTATGATTTTAACACCATTAGAAGCATAACCCTGTTGCAGTGGGGATTGTGTATAAAAGAAAAAGT